AGGGTGGAGGGACAGCGCAGGAGGGGAAGACCCTCTATGAGATGGATTGATTCGGTGACTGGGGTAATCGGGATGGGTGTGTCAGAGACGTTGCGGTTGGCACAGGATAGAGCAGGGTTTAGGGCTGTTGTGCATAGGGTCGTTATGAGTCGGAAACGACTCGACGGCACATAACAACAACAACAACAACCTACTAGGAAATGAAAAAGGTCAGGGAGAGAAAGAACCTAGTTTGGTTGCCTTCCCATATAGTGCTTTCTTTATGTGTCAAGTATAATAAGTTGGGGAAAAGAACCCCACAAGGTGAAAAGTCACACTAGGAGGTGTTGTTGCTGTTAGGTGCCGTCAAGTCTAGTATGACCCATAGAAAACCTATGAACAACAGGTCCTATCCTGTGCCAGTCTCACAATCTCTGATGCAATGGAGCCCATTGCTACAGTCACCATGTCAGTCCACCTGGTTGGTGCTCCTCCTCTCTCTCACTGTCCCTCCACCTTTCAAAGCATGATGTCCTTCTCAAAGGAATAACCTCTCCTAGCAACATGCCCAGAGTATGCGAGATGAAGCTTTGCCATCAAATCCCCACCAGCCTTGGAAGCATGGACTGCCTGCAGGAAGCACTGAGCCAGCAGCATGCCCCAGGGACCTGAGCAGGATGGAGGTTTGGGTTCCTGCGTCCTTTGTTCAGAGGACTGAGCTTCCTTCTCCTGCTATATTTAATGATCTCCTCCTGTGGCAGCTTGGAGCTGATATTTTCACGAGGAGCCTATGCCTGTACTTCAGAGGGAAGATGAGGGAAATGCCCACAGGCAGAGTAGAAATGGAGATTCATTTACTGGAGAAAGTTACCTACATCCTGAAATAACATTTGTGAGAAGCTCTCACACTTCTCCCAGAATCCTGAAAGTTAAAGAATTGAACTTTGGTTTCACAGAAATGGTTACTGATAAACAAAGCTGAATGTGCCATCCATTAGGGGTGCAGGGAGAGAACTGGGCAGGAAGAAACCCTGCGGGTGCTGTGCTTAAAACATTTGGCTGCCAACCAAAAGGTTGGTGGTTCAAACCCACCAGCCACTCTGCTGTGAAAAGATATACTGGTCCACTTTTGTAAAAACTACAGCTTAGGAAACCTTATAGTGCTTGGCATCACAGCAGTGGGATTTCATTGGAAGGGGAGGGGAGTAAGAAGAAAGGATAAGGAGCCCTGCTAGTGCTCTAGCTCAGAGGTCACAGGTACGAACCCACTGGCTGCTGAGGGAGAGATGTGTGGTCTGCTTCCATAAAGACAGCCTTAGAAACCTTATGGGCAGTTCTACATTGAACGACAGGGTTGCTATTAGAATCAACTTCAAGGCCTTGAATTCAGTCATTCGGTTTGAGTTTTTTATTAGGAAGGGAGTGAGCTATGACCCTTGGAAATGTGCCCCAGGCTGTGACGTCTGGGAGGCAGGAGAAGGCAACCCAGAGATGGGCATTTTTACACTTATCCATGACGCTATAACCACCAGCGGAGCCCTTTCCATGCCACTGTCTGTCCCAGAAAGGTTTGGTTAGAAGTCAAGACTCCATCCAGCTGAGCTGTATCTCTTTTAAGTGCTGCAGAGAGCCTTTCCCTGCTCTGGAGCAGGGGTGGGGGTTCTGAGGTCGTGCTGTGAGGAGGTCTCTGTCTACTGCCCAGGACACTCCCTCCCTCTGGGCCCTCATTTGTCAGGATGTCCCTCTAGAAGTGCCCTCCCCCTCTCCTCTGCTTGTTCCCACTGTGCCCTCTAGTGGAAGGCTCACTCCAGCTTTGTGGCATTTCTAGGAAAAGCCAAGGAACAATAGTTGTTGCTATGTACCTAGGGGTTGAAATCCGCTCATACGTAGCTGACCCTCAAGCAGAGTCAGCAGGTTTTCAGAGGCTAGAAATTGCCGCTTTTAATTGCCCATCTTTCTCCTGTGGAACAACTGGTGGATTTGACCCACATGCCTCAGGGTTGGTAGTGCAGTTCTTTACCACTGGGCCGTTACAGGTCCCTGAGGAAGAGTTGAGTTGTTGGTGTGTGCTGAGTCAGAACCAGCCCAGAGCTGACCCTCCTGCAGGATTTCAGAGGCAGTTAATCGTGCAGGAGGGGACTGCCCATCCTTGTCTCACAGAGTAGGTGGTGGCTTTGAACTGTGTGCCTTCGGGGTTGCAGTGCAACTGCCTGCCACTAGGCCACCAGAACTCATCTGGTTAATCCTCAGATGTCTACACTTTGCACGTGTAGTTTCCATGTGTAAAGCAAGCGAAAACCACTTTTCATTCTGTACTGCTGCTCTAACACAAATACAGGTGGGTGACTTTATCCAACAGAAATTTATTCTTTCACATTTTAGGGATGAAAAGTCTGAATTCAGGGCCCCAGCTCTAGGGGAATGTGCTTATCTCTTCCACCATGGCTTCCCGTTTCTTAGAGGTCTCCTGTTACATCTTCTGAGAGACACACCCTGCACTAATCCTGCCTTGTGGACAACAAAGACAACCTGTTTCCAAATGGGATTGCACAGATATAGGTTAGGATTTACAACACATGTTTGGGGGAACATAATCCCCTCTGTTAACACTGCTGAGCCCCAAGTACCCCTCAGCCCTCATTTCTGTATTACCATCCAGGAGAATCGAGAATAGCCACCTCTGTTGTTAAGGGCCGGCAGGTCGACTGCAGTTCACAGCAGCCCTGTGTATCCTCAGTCTCTGCTCTTCAGCCTCTTGTTACAGTCACCATGTCAGTCTGTCTCATGGAGAGAATTCCTCTGCTTTGCTGACCTCCTCTTTTTTCACAGCATCATTTCCTTTTCCAGAGACGAACCCCTCTTGATAACATGCCCAAGGTAAGACCAACTTTCATTGCCCTAGCCTTGAAGGAGCACCCTGGCTGCACTTTTTGGAAGCCAATTAGGATTAATTAATGCCATATATTATTAGATGAATTATGAAAGGCAATAAGTATCTTTTCTGGATCCACATGAATACCCAGAACGAACAATTCCTATGTGATGAATCATAAAAGGATGATTTCTTGTTATATTTACTCCTTGCCTTTGAGTCAGAACCAACTCATAGCTGACTCTCCAGTGAATTTTCAGAGGCAGTAAATCAAAGGGTAGGCAATTGCCTGCCTTTCTCCTGAGGGGCAGTTGGTAGATTTGAACCACCTGCCTTTGGGTTGGCAGCACAATTCCTTACCCACTATGCCACCAGAGCTTCAAAAGGAAGGTAGAGCTTTTCAGATGAGAAAAAAGAAAACCAGAAAAGTAAGTTGACTTACCCAGCATCACATGGGCAGTTCCCAATCCAGGGTGGTCAGCACGCTCTCCCCGCTTTAGGAGGATGGTTTTAAATGGGAGGTAGTAGCAAGAAACTCCACTGCAATCACAAAGGCATGTGGTTCAAATTCACCAGCTGCTTCACGGGAGAAGGATAGACAGACTCCTCCCATGCAATTAACTGCCTCTGAACACCCTCCAAAGGGTCGGCTATGGGTCAGTTCTGACTCGACGGTACACAACATACAAAAGAAAGACATGTTCACATTCCCTTCCCACACACACAACGAAACCAGAGGGCTTGGTAGCCTACCCTCCACTCAGACACCCACTGCCATCAAGCCCATTTCAACTCAAGCTAGAGACCCTATAGGACAGAGTAGAACTGCTCAGTAGGGTTTCCAAGATGAACTTTTATGGAAGTGAACTGGAATCTTTAGTGAGTTCCAGCTGCTGACCTTATTGATTCAGCAGCAGAACACTTGAACAGCTGTGTTACCAGTCCTCTTGAGTAACCTACGGTTTTTTCTTATCATTCTTCATTGTGATCACAAAGTAAAGCCCAGGCACACTGGGGATCATTTTGCTACCATGTTGAAACTCCCCTGTAATACTTTCACATTTGCTTGTGATGTAGAAGAAAGTTTACACAGCATCTTAGTTTGCCACTCAACAGTTTATACAGAGACTGTTGCATGAGGTTTGTTGCACACTCCTGATTTCCCTCCTGCCTGCCCTGTTTGCATCCGTTAACCTCTGCCCCGTTTTGCTTTCTCATCTTTGTTTTTGGGTTAATGTTGCGCATGAGATCATCTGTAGCTCACTATTCAAAGGAGTGTCCTCCTCATGGGTGTTAATATTTATAAACCAGTCGGTTATTTGTCTGAAAGGTGACCTCTAGGAGTGGGTTAGAAAGGAATCTTGGGGGGACAGTTGTCCAAAGAGTTCTACCCATTTCTAGCAGTTCAGTTGGTTTGTGTTTTATTTTTAATTTTATATTGGTTTGCTTACAAAGTTCATATACATTGTGTTTCATGCTATCTTTCATCCACATCATCATAACAAGCACCCTTTGTTGATGTTCATGCCAATGTTCCAAACATGACATCTGTATAGAAAAGTGATTAAGGGCGCCGGCTCTGAAATCTGTCAAGCATGGCTAGTTTCTAGTTGTGTGTGACCTTGATTGCTTACACAAAAACTGCTTGATACAACTCTTTAAAAGACTGAGAAAAATATACCTCTCGTTCTTCATGTACTGTCTCATAAAGTCAGCTCTCAGTAAATATTAGTTGATAGTAATACTTCGCCTACTTAGGTCTTTGTTGGGAAGCCCCGTCAACAGCAGAACAGATCCCACAAGCTTAGGGGTAGCCCCGTGACTAGTTGTCATGGGGCACTTGATGCTGACTCACTCTCTGCGATGTGGAGTGGCGTTCTCCTGCCTCAGGACTTTACCAGCGTGAAGGATCAGTTTCCCCATTGCTGTCCTAGAGTGCCCTTTGACCGATGTCCTTCTTGGTCTGTTTAAAGGATGCAGCACTACACATGGAGTCCAAGAATGAAAAACTGGAGCCAGACCTGGAGCAAGACAAGAAACCAAGACTCGATAGTGTCACCAGCAGTGAGAGCCTCGCCAGTTCTGGGTTTCAAGAAGATAAAAGCCTGAGTGATGCTGAGGAAGAGGAGGGTAAGTATCCGTTCCTTCCTGTTCTTCAGCTGGAGATATTTTTATAACATACTGTGCATCTCAGACATTTTTTTCTTATTTATCACCCGAAAAAACATCCGTGGGAGACTTGCAGGGTAGTGGCCTGAGGAGATAAGATTTGAGTGAAGATTATTTACAGAGTTACTAATTTTGACAGAGAACTGTGTGATTGTCTCCCCTCAGGCCCCTCTGTCTTAGTGGATTATCCCCCCACTCACCACCACACACACCCTGTGTCTGGAGGCCTGGAAAAACCTCTGATGTTCATGTTGAAACCCAATTGCTCTTGCAAATGAACTCTGGTCTACTTGTTGGTTTGTTTTATGTTTTGCTAACATTGTTCCAATAAACTGGGATTTAGTGGAATAACAAGAGCCATTACAAAACATTTATGGTTTTAATGCTTTCCAGATTCTGATGATTTCTACAAGGAACCCATCACTATGGAAGATCTGATTTCTTACAGTTTTCAAGTGGCCCGAGGCATGGAGTTTTTGTCTTCCAGAAAGGTCAGCCTAGCTCGTTACTGTTTTCCTTCTTTGCCAGGCTGGGTGTTTCACCATTCATTGGGCCAACACATACCTTTGCTATAAAGCTACTTTTACTAGTATTTGCTTGTAGCTGTGTTCATAAATGTAAACACAACAACTGTATAAACTTTTTCATATTGCCAAAGAGGTCCCATATTTGAAGTTATCAAAAGGGTGAGTTTTGAGTACTGGTCATAGAACTGAATTTGAGAGGGAAACCTCATTGGGTTTAGAGCAAGACCAATCTGACAGCTATTCTGTACAGTGTACCCTCTAGCCTGTGTTCCCACGCTGTCGCAGACTGTCAGAACATGGTATTTTATGGGAGAGCTCCCACCATTACACCCGGTCCTCACTTAGCAACATAGTTCCAAGAGACCAGGTCATTATGTGGAAATCGGTGGTAAACAAAAATGGACGATGTCCACCTAGTTGTTATTGTTGTTAGGCCCTATCTAGTCAGCTCCAACTCATAAGGACCCTGCACACAACATCTCTAAACCTTACCCTGTCCTGCATCCTCCTCCTACATCGTTCTCAAGCCCAAAGTAATAGTTACTGTGTCAATCCATCATCCTCCTTCATTGACCCTGCAACTTTCCAAGCAAGAGGGACTTTTGAAGGGATTGACCCCTCCTGACAGTGTACCAGAAGTATGTGAGACAAAGTCTCACCATCTTCCTTCCCAGGAGCACTCCGGTTGGACTTCTTCCACCACTTATCTGTTTTTTAGGCAGTCCATCCTCTTGTATTTTGACAACATTCCAACTGGAAAGGTTCAGACACTCAATCAGATAATGCTCTATTATTCATAGGGTTTTTGAGGGCCCATTATTTCAGAAGTAGATGTCAGTCTAGAGACTAAGGCACTCCTGATCCAGTCCATGGTCTTCACAATTACGTGCTATGCATCAGAGAGCTGGATAGTGACTAAGGATGATAGAAAAAGAATTGATGCCTTTGAGTTGTGTGCCTTTAAGCTGGAGAAGAATATTGAATACACCATGGACCACCAAGAAAGCAAACAGGTCTGTCTTGAAGAGGGTGAAACCAAGTTTCTTCTTGGAGGCTAGTATTTTGAAGCTTTGTCTTACATACTTTGGGCATGTGACCAGGAGAGACTGGTCCTTGGAGAAGAACATTATGCAGGGGTGGAGAAGAAGACCCAGGATGAGACGGATTGATACATTGACTAGCGCAATGGGGTTAGATGTGTCGGAGTCAGTGAGACTGGCTCAGGACAGGGCAGGCTTTAGAGCAATGATACATAAGGTTGCTGTGAGTTGGAGGTGACTTGACAGCATATATATAACAACAACAGATGGTCAAACCTTCTAAGGATTGTCTTAGTTTATCTTGCTCTGAAAGCACTGCCGAAATCTGTTTACCATGAGTTACCCTATTACTATTTGAAACAGCAGTTGCATAGCTTACAGCATCACAGCAACACAAGTTACCTCAGTACAACAAACTGATAGACAGGTGGTGGATGACCACATCAGATCACAAAATGAGGCTGAACACATTATTGCATAACTGCTAAATTTCATTGCTTTGTAACTGACAAATTATATCATTATATAACTGCCAGCTTTCATTACATGCTATCAGATTGCATCATTACTTAACTATCAACCACTTAGAATCACAACCAGCAATCACGACACATGCCCATAATGATCATAGCCAGAGTGATTCTCACCTCAAGACCTCAGCCATTCATTACTGCCGGATGTGTATATATATTGTTAATGTGTAAAATAGTTTTGTGTTTTGCATCATTGTCGTAAATGTGAAATGTTGGATAATGAGATCATGGATAAATGAGGAGTTGATGCATCCTCTTGGAGTCCTCCCGTGACATGGCAGCTGGGTCTAGCGCTCCAATCTCAGCAGCTCGGTAGAAAAAGCTGTGAGGAGGTTGTACTCACTCAAAAACCCAGCAGTGTCAGCTTGTGGGTCACGGGGCTAGAGCTCAGATCAGTAGCCCTGCCAGATTTAGTTCTTCAGTGCACTTTGGGCCTCAGTTTATAAATAAGTTGTTCGCTTTTACGGTGACTCAGTGCTCACACAGAAGCTTCCTTCACACCCTGTGAAATGGGCCCTGGAATTAAAGAATAAAAGCCCAAGCAGGCGCAGGAAATTGGTTGGCTGGATTAACAAAGTGTGTTGATTATGCAACCATTTTCCTGCAGTGCATTCACCGAGACCTGGCAGCTCGCAACATTCTTTTATCCGAGAACCATGTGGTGAAGATCTGCGACTTTGGCCTTGCCCGGGATATTTATAAGAACCCCGATTATGTGAGAAAAGGAGATGTAAGTTGGTTTGTTGTTTACTTGACTCATTTGTGCCCTCTCACTTTTAAACTACAACCTGAGGGCCTCACTCGATATTTGTGATTCCTCAGTTGTGGGCCACCCTGCCCTCCTCCCCGCTTTCTGTGAAGACAACAGTATGGATGGAAACACCCTTGTGTTCCTGGCCCTTGGGGTGCTACCTGTTCTGGAACCTCACTGCCCAAGCACGTGTTCCTCAGATAAATATCCAGAGGGACTCCACACGATTCTCCTCTGGTTCCTAGGAGAGTCTCCTCTGGTTCCTAGGAGAGTTCCCTGCATTTCCAGAGAGAACAGCCTGGACTTTTCCCCTCAGATAAACCCTTGTGATTGATCCGCCAGGTGGATCTGCCTCAGGAAAGGGCGGAGGCTCCCACGGAGGAAGCTGCTTGGCCCCCCTGCACACCCATTAGCCTGCTGGCTCACCCTCATTTCTCCTCCCCACTTGTTTTGGGACATTGTGTTATTTTTCACTTCGTGGGTGACCTCGTGTGTCCTCTCTCATCTACCTTGTACCCTGAGGTCTTAAGCTAATGTTCAGGCACTGGAGATCCCTCTGCAGAGAGGGATTCTCAACCACGAGTGGCTGTCAGAGGCGCCTGAACCCTCTTCTCAGAGCTGCGGCCAGAGCTGGTCTTGGCAGGGGAGGTGGCCTGAGAGCTGGCCCTGCTCAGAAATTTTGAGAATGGCTGTTGGACAGTATCATTTTGGTGGTGGTGGTTTTCATTTTAATGAAAGGAAAACCAAACAAATTGCTTTCCTTGGGAGACCTGGTTGGCAAAGGTGGTGTCTCCTTCGCCTCTGTCCTTTCTCTTTCCGCCTGTCTTCCCTGGTTTTCTTGGCATCCCTCCTTTCTCCCACCTCACCTCTGGCTCCTGTCAACCCAGAGTGGTGGTTTTAGGTGGGATTTCTGCTCTTTAGAAGTGAAGGAGGAGTGGTCTGCACACTTGACAATCCAGAGTTCTGAATACAGCCTCTCAATCACCATTCCTCTTCCCAAAGCCACTACCACACTCACTGCTGTGAAATCTTGTCATTTCACCTCATCTTGCCCTTCAGAATCCCTCCTTCTTAAGAAAAACTTGTGGAAAACAGTGACTTTTCAAGATGTTTTCTAATTCACGTGGCCCTTTTCCGGGCCCTAAGTGGCCCTGTAGAAGAGGCCCTGGTGGTACAGTCATTTAAACAGTAGCCCCCACAGGATAAAGATGGGGCACTGGGCTCCCATAAAGACCCTGCACACAGTTCCGCTGTGTCCTGTAGGTTTGCTGGGAGTCAAATTGGACTCAATGATAGTGAGTGTGGTTCTGGTTTTCCAAATGCCCTTGTTGGAGCCCTGGTGATGTAGTGGGCTATATGATAGTCTGGTCACTGAAAGGTCGGTGGTTTGAATCCACCAGTTGCTCTTGTGGAGAAGGAGGGACAGTGTAAAAAGAGTAAGAGCCTGTGTGGAGACAGCCACGTCTGACCCCCACCAACCTCACAAAGGAGAACTGTCACTGTCAACAGCATCAACAATACAAAACCAATTCCCATGAGATCAGACCTATTCCCCGCCCCCCCTTCTGTACCTGTCTGTACTCATCTCACCTCCAATCTTACTGCTTTACTGGGTTCAAAATCCAATGTGATAGCTTGCAAACCACACAGAACCACATTGGGGAAGTTAAAAAGTTATAATACAAAGAGGGGGAAAGAACTGTTTAAAAGGAATAAATGATTAGTCATTATTAGCCCAACAGCAGTCCAGAATAAGAGGTGCTTATCAAAGTGGTCTGGGTATGGGAGGGAGGAAATTATGCAACAATGAATGAATTTTTTTTTTAAGAAAAAAGTGAACTAGGGGGAAGTCAGGAGGAAAATGTGCAACAATAAATGAATGGAAATCCAAGTTTTTGTAAACTTTCATTAAAATCATGATAAATTATTTATTAAAAAAAAGAAATAAAAAGTTATAGTCCAGATTAGTAACAGAATATAGTCAGGATGGATTCAGAAACTGTTGCCTCAGCCTTGGGCCTCATAGTGTAAGGCCAGTGTTACAAAGTTCTCAGTACTGTTGGTTATGGTCCTCCCCTTCCCAGGCTTCCAGCAAGCTTGGGCAAAAGGCTCTTAGTTCTGGTTGGGTGGTCTCCAGTCCCAAGGTCTACTCCATCTCATGTCAAGTGTCTGGTTCTTTGCTATGGCTGTTGCTTCCATAGGCCCCAGTCTGCCTGGTACAAGAGTTTCTGGTCCTGAAGGATGTATTACATCCTCTTGCTTCTTTTGGTGGCAGTGAAGTTTCTCCTTTCTGCTGCTGGGTCTGCTTAATTTAACGGCAAGACTAACCACTCCCTTTGTGAACTGATGAGACTAGCCAATCCTCTTGTGGATAGACTAATATGCCCTATTCATATAATCCTGCTTGTCCACATGGCAAAGTCAAATTCAGTGGCTAGAAAAGCCATTTTGAACACTAAACTCTTCACACCACAGCCCATCTCCTATTAAGATTTACTGAAAAAATCACACCCATTGCTGACTCTTCCTTCAGTGGGTTTTCAGAGGCTGTGATGGAAGGAGACTGCCAACTTTCTCCTGAGGAGCATTTGGTAGATTCGAACCACCAGAGAGGTGCTGCCTTTGGCTTATCAGCACAACTCCATACAGACTATGCCAGCAGAGCTCCCAACCATCCAGCAGCAGTCTACCAAGAGTTGGAGTTGATTTGACAGCAGCTGGATCGGGTTTGGGATTATGGGGTTTGAGCTTCTGCTGGAAAGGAATTTCTTACACTCAGACAACCAGCTTTGTGTTCTTAGGGCTCCTTGCTCTCTCCTAGACACGGCTTCCACTGAAATGGATGGCTCCCGAGTCCATCTTTGACAAGATCTATAGCACCAAGAGCGACGTGTGGTCCTACGGCGTGCTGCTGTGGGAGATCTTCTCTTTAGGTAAGGGGGTGGAGAGGCGGGGGGCTCAGTACAAAGAACCCATCCCAGACCACTTTGTGTCCCCCATGCACCTCTGGAGCAGCAGTCTCCCGGAATGACTGAGCACCCCAGAAGAGGGGTGTGCCTACAGAGAACCTCAGAGGAGGTTCGAGTGTACTCTGTGCTGGAAAGATGGCTGGTGTGATGTGAACATGAATGTCAACTAATTGTCAGAGAGTGTGCCTGGTGGCCTCGTGCATTATAAGTGGGCCTGCTAACCAGATGACCAGCGGATTGCACCCACCAGCCACTCCTCAGGAAAAAGAGATTTATAACCTCAGAAAATCAGTGAAAGGTGTCGTGAATCAGATTTGACTTGATGGCAGTGGAATATCTCAAACACTCACGTTTCTAACTCCTGCATCACCTCCCCGCCTTCATCTCCCCCCCCAGCCGCCAGAATCTCTTCCCAGGAAAGACCCTGACTGCATGTGTGTGGACTGGTGCGAAAGGGTTGGAAACCAGCGGGTCTCCTCATTTCCCTCCCCACCCTGAGGGCAGGGCAGCCAGCACTGAGCAGTGGTGTTTGTTCCCCTTCCAGTGTCCTGCACCCTGAGGACTGGGAGCCAGCCTGAGGCCCCGTGCACAGCTGTGCACAGCCACATCTGCACGCAGACACCGTGATGTTCTTAGGCCTCTCAGCCAAGAGTCCATCAGACTGTGCCAAAAGTTTGCCTTTCACAGCAAATAAAGTCACTCATCACATCTCTCACTTCCTATAGTGCGTGAAAACCGTCTGCCTGCTTTCGATGACAGGCACCTGTTGCTTCCAGCCCTTGAAAGCAGCTTGGCGGCCACAGTGGCCCCGTGGTGACAGGGTGTCTTTCAGCTCTGCTCACCTCCCAGCTGCTTCCTGCCATCCGTGGTCACCGCACAGAATGGCCAGTGACTTGGAGCAGACAACAGGGACTTGCCCAGAGCTAGCACCTCTGGGGGCCTCTGCCTTTGTCAATACCCTGGATGGGCTCCCAGACAGTAAAGCTGCCATAGGCAAAGTGCAGGCCCTTCTGGTACCCTCATGTCCAAAACCTCCTACCCCAGGCGGCTTCTGTCTCCCGCTATCAGCCTTGTCCCACAGTCCGACCCTCTGTCATCAAGTCGATTCCAACTCCTAACAGCTTCCCCACAGGATGGAGCAGCACTGCCCCACACTGTGTCTAGGCTGTGAGCTGGGTGAGAGCAGCCACGAATTCTGGGATCCGTTTAACTCATTGACACTTTTGGTTTGTCAAGTTCTTTAACACTGTGCAACCAGAGCTCCTCGAAAAAGGCACTCTTCCCTTAGACCTGTCAGAACCCCGGTAGTGTGGTGAGGAGTTTGCCCAAAAGTGGCTGCCTGATGCTCTCACTGGCATGTGCACAAGCACACACGGCCTTGCCCAGTCCTTTGGCTTTTGAAAAGCTGTCTATTAAGCCAAGAATTGAGCCTCTAATGGTGGAATTCCTTTAGGCCTTTGGTCACTTTACTGTCTGGGCACCTCTGCCTTTGAGGGAGTTCATGGTTGGAGGAGGTGGGGTCACCTGGAGATGCAAGCTCTAGACAAGGCCCTGCTCTCTGCTTGGAGCTGCCAAGAGACTCTGGTAGTGCAGGAGGTAAAGCACCAAGCTGCTCACCAGGTCAGTGGTTTGACCCACAATCCACATTGGGAGCCGGTTAGGGTCATCTGCTTGGTACAGATGACAGCATAGAGATCCCAGACGCAGTCCTGGTCTGGCCTGGGAGTTGCTGACTCTGTGGCAGTGGGCTTGGTCTTGTTGGGTGAGTGAAGCGACCCTTTGGATGAGCATCTCCTGATGGTGCAGATGGGAATAGTCCATCCAACAGGCACGGCCTGTGGCAGCAGGTACCAGACATCAGCCACACTGATGACCAGTGTGTGTGTCACTTAGATGGTTCATGGAGGCCTTCTGTGCAGTCTCTGGGAACCTGTGAGCAGTGTGCCTTTGAAGGGACAGGAAAGGAACACTGACACCCCCCCGCCCCCTTCCCCCGCTGGTGCCTCTGTGCTCCTCAGACCAAATGTGACCATGATCCTCATGTTGTCCCCCAGGTGGGTCTCCGTACCCAGGCGTGCAGCTGGACGAGGACTTCTGCAGCCGCCTGAAGGAAGGCATGAGGATGCGTGCTCCGGAATACGCCACCCCTGAGATGTGAGACCCTCAGCTTCTCACTTGCCGGGATACCCGAGAATACTCCAAAGGGACAGGGGCCACACTTGTTCCCTTGATCCTGGCCAGCATCCCCGTCCTGAGAGATGAAGCACTGACTCTAAACACGGCTTCCTGGTTTTGGGGGATGACTCGGAAAGGATGCCTGGGAGTGTCTCTCAGAATGGGGATGCTGCCTCCTCTGTCCACCCCTCCCCACTCCTTCCTGACTGCCAGACACACAGAGGCCAAGGTCAAGGGCACTGCCTGGCCTTTGCTTGCATATGGGAGCCCAGGGAGGGAAGCCGCTGTAGGGCCAAGGTGGAGCTCTCTGACCTGCTCCATCCGCGCTGGAGACAGACCAGCTTGGACCACAGAACAGGATGGGAGAGAAGAGGAAGGGACTTTCCTGGCTGCAGTAGTCACTGACCTGCAGAGGCCCCTCGGAAAACACCACTGCCTTAACATGTTACCTTTAAGGACAGTGGCACAGTGATTCCAGGGTCAGCAGTTCAAATCCATCTTATGCTCCTTAGGAAAGATGAACAGTCATCATTCTTTTAAGATTTACAGTCTCAGAAACCCATGACTGAGGGTCACTATGAGGCAGAAAGAGCTTGGTGGCACTGTGGCTTTGGTGGTGGTGGTGGAGAGGTGTAACAAAAGGGGCCCCAGTGGTACAATGAGATTACGCATTGTGCTGCTACGTGAAAGGTCTGTGGTGTAAATTCTCCAGCTACTCTGATTCACAGAGAGGAGGCAGCCTTGGAAACCCTGCAACGCAGTTCTGCTCCTCCCTGCGGGGTCACTGTGAGTTGGAATCCATCCAGCAGCACTGGGTTAGGGTTTCTGTGTGGGAGTAATGTAAACAGCTGAAGGACCAGCCACTAACTGAAAGGACAGTGGTTCAAAGCCACCCACCAGCTCCAAGGGGGCAGACCTGGCAATGTGCTTCTGTAAAGGTTACAGCCTTGGAAGCCTGGTGGGACTGCACAGTCTCATGAAGAGTCACAGAGTTGAAATCCATTCAATGGCAAAAGATTTAGAGACTTTAATGCGAATGACGTGCCCTGGGAAATGCAGATTGGAGTGACTTCTCTGAGACCCAGGTAGTGCAGTAGTTTAAGCATTGAACTCCTAACCAGTAGACAGTTCAAATCCAGAAGGCCTTCTGGGGGAGAACTATGAGGCAGTCTATTTCTGTAAAAATGATAGGCTTGGAGACCCCATGGTGTACTTCAGGTTTGCCCGCCAGGGCTGCTGAGTGGGGATTACCTTGAGGGCAGTGGTGGGCAGACTTGGAAGGCTGGGCAGATGAAGAGGCGAGTAGAAATCACAAAACCAGGGCCACACCACTCTAAAGCTGGAGGATCTGTGTCCAGAAAGTTCGCTTCTACTCATTGTGTTTTGGTGGCCTAGTGGTAAGGAGTTGCACTGCCAACCCAAAGGTAGACTGTTTGAATCCATCAACTGCTCCACGGAGAAAGAGGGACAGCCCCCTCTGTGCGATTTACAGCTTCTGAAAACCCACCTGCAGGTCAGCTGTGGGTCAGTTCTGATTTGACTACAATGACAGAGATAATTACAGTAAGGAGCCCTGTGGCACAATAGTTAAGCATTTGAACGCTAGTCAAAATGTTACTAGTATGAACTACCCAACAGCAAGTCAGGAGAAAGGCCTGGCCATCCTGCACAGACGACAGAGGAAACTCTGGGGCAGTTCCGTTCAGCCTCATGGGCCACTGTGAGTCAGGTCAGTACAGTGGCCCCCAGCATCAGGGACAGGATTGCCAGCTACTGTGAGCTTCCAGAAGATTCTACAGAATGCCTTCCAGCAGCGCTGCCCTGTGACTTGGGGTGATGGGAAGGTTCCCTGTGTTCTGCTGACTCCCGGCTTCTCTAGAATCTTCCCAAGGCCCCTGTGGCTGTTTTGCGCTCTCATGCCCCAGCAGGCTGGCTGTTCCACTGAGCAGAAGTAGGGCCTCCTCGTGGCGCCACCACCTTTCCTGAACTCGAGCCACATCCCATTCCACCCACCATACAATGGGGTCCCGCCAAGCCCCCGGAGGGCCGGTGGGGAGGAGTCAGGAGCGGTAAAGGAAGTGTGGGCTTGGCAGCGCTGCAAGGTCACTGTCTCTCCTTCATCTCCTCAGACAGGGCTAGGTCAGATCCAGGCCAGCAGTGGACAAAATGGGCAGAGGAGGGCTCGGTGGGGAGGAAAGAGGGCTTTGTCCTTGCAGTGTCCTTATCAGGAAAGCACAGAAACTCGGGCCAGGCGTTTTCTGGGGGCTGGTGACCGGCCAGCGGCCACAGAGCAGTGAAGGCGCTGAGAGTGCTGGCTGATCTCTTTCACTTGGTGAGCGGCACGGCCTTGAGGAGAGGTCTGGCTCCCAGCTCTCCGGCTGTGTTCCCACGCTCAGCCCCACGTGGAGTTCCCAGCCGCCTGGAGAAGCATACGGGGCTGTTAGATCTTGAACTTGACCAGTAACGACACTGTGACTCTGATGGTTGTAGTTGTTATTAAGAGCTGTGAGTTAACTTTGCACTCACAGTGACCTTATGTGACAGAACTATCCCCCAGGGTTTTCCTGGCTGGCTTTTTATGAGTTAGATCGCAAACCTGTCACCACAGGAGCTGCTGGGCAAATCTGAACCTTTCAGTGAGCAGCCAAGGACGTCCTCTCAGGCACTGGATTAAATACTTTATTCCACTTCGTGTGTCAAGGAAGCCCAGTGACGCAGTGTAGTGCTTGTTTCACTGTAACTGATTCAGATCCACCAGCTGTTTTGCAAGAGAAAGATGGGCAGCTTCCTCCCATAAAGATTTACTACTTTTGAAACCCATTGGAGGATCACCCTGAGCTACAGCTGGCTCAACAGCAGTGGGTTGGTGGTTTGCTATTGTGTACTTCTATCAGAGAGGTTGGGGGTTCGAGTCCTCCAGCCTCTTCTGCCTAGTAATGGCAAGAGTGGCTTCTCTGTGTATGATTGACAGGAATAATAATACTTTCTAGTAGTTCTTTAAGGCTGAGGATCTCCTCCCTCTAAAATGATGGCCGTGAGTGAATAGTGATTTTATGGTCAAGTGCCTGACAGTGTCGTAATCACTGTTTAACCTGTCCCTCAACCAGGTGTAGCAATAGGGTCATCACAGCCAAGGGGGGGCGGGGCACAGGACCAGGTGGAGTTTTCTTCTGTTGTACTTGGGTTCATTACTGATTTGTGTCTGGAGTCAATATGGGTTTGGATTGGAGCCCTCTCTACAGTCCTTAACACCAATAACATGCACAGCAAAACCTCGAGACGATGTAAGGCAGAAACTTGTCAGGGAAAGAAAATGCAAATATTCCCCACTAATGTGGAGAGCAGTAAAAAGGGGGTGGGGGGCAAGAGGAAGTAAAACTGTACCCCATCCAAGGGTGAAGACTCTCAAGACCCAGCGACCATGGCCTGTTGAGTTCTGGCTCTCACACGTCTCACTATATTGATTTAGCTAAACTTCAGAACAGCTCTATGAAGTAGGTGCTTTGCTGCTAACTACAAGGTCAGCAGTTTGAATCCACCAGTCACTCTGAAGGATGAGACATTCTGCTTTCATAAAGATGGCAGCCTTGGAAACGATGGGGCCACTCTGCTCTTTTGTACAGGGCTGCTGTGAATAGAGTGGGGTCGATGACATGAAGCATGGATATTTGGTTTCTTAGCATTTCCATTTTACATGCATGAGAAACACAAAAGCAAGACACAGACCACCTAAATTTTCTGCCTGCAGCCATTGCATTGCTAATAAATTAGGAAAACCGAGCCCACAGGCCAGATCCAAACCCAGCCCCCTGCCATTGGATTGACTCTGATCAATCAAAATAACAAGGTAGTTCTGGTGGCCTCTGGCACTCAGCTCAAATCCACCAGCTGCTGTTTGTGGGGGCAGAGATGGTCAGAGTCTTGAACATACCATGGACCACCAAGAAAACAAACAGGTCTCTCTTGGAGAGGGTGAAAGCAAGTTTCTCCTTGGAGGCAAGGATTTTTGAAGCTCCCACTCACATATTTTTGGGGCACATGGCCAGGAGAGACCGTTCTTTGGAGAAAGACATCATGCTTGGAAGGCTGGAGGGACAGTGCAGGAGGGGGAGACTCTGGGTGAGGTGGATTGATATAGTAACTGAGGCGATGAAGGTAGGTGTGTTGAAGTCAGTGAGAGCAGGGTTCAGAGCTTCTGTACATAGGGTTAAAGGCAACTCGACAGCACATAACAACCACATCCTCCTACATGGCTTACAGCCTCTGAAAATCCACTGGGAGTATCAGACTCATGGACACATAGCAGCCTCGTAGCCAGCACTGCTGGCATAGTCTGTAGAGAGTCTTTGGGTTAGTGTCCACTGACCCAAAGTCTGCATCTCTGGCAGTTCAAATCCACCGGAGGCTTCTCGGGAGAAAGATGATGTACTCACAGCTATGTTGCTAATAAGTTAGGAAAACTCAGTACACAAGCCAAAAGCAAACTCAACCGACCACCACTGGACTGATTGTGACTCCTAACAGCCCTCCATTGGGTCTCCAAGGTGGCCGATCTTAACGGGAACAGACTGCTGCACCATTCTCCCACAGAGTGGCTTTTGGGTTTGAACTGCTGACTTTTTGCTTAGCAGCCCAACACGTAACTCACTGTCCCACCATTCTAAATCCCTGCAGTGTGATCCCAGTTCTTGTCCAGATTCTGATCCCGGGTAACTCTAGAGATGGATTCAAAGTCACATCAACTTTGGACAGAAAAAGTTATCAACTCTTCAGGTATAGACATCCAGCTCACCCAGGTTAAACCTTTACTGAAAGAGAGTTCTTCTAGAGAGAGGATGAGTTCTCAGTTCCAGGAAGGAGTTTGGTTGCAGACTTAAAGATGTTAAGAAGGAGCATTGTAAAGGGTGTGCTGAGCCTTCAGCCATTTCCTCCAGCGTTGGCCCTCCAGCCAGTGGAGTGTGTTCCTCTTCCTTTGTTATGAGGTTGGGAAGGTCTGCCGAGGACCAAGGGCAGTAGTTTTGGAAGCGGTCTGCTTGGACTTGAACTTGTCCTAGAACAGTGTGCTCTCGGGAACCTGGACTTCAGAATGAAGTCCTCCCAAGGCCCCTCACCACCACTTGACTTCAGGCAGGGCTGCTGAGCTGGGTTCTGCGGGAGAAAGATCGGCATTCTCCTCTCTGTAAAGATTTGTAGAGTCAGAACAGCCTCCCACGGAGGGTCGCTGTGACGTGGAACCCGCTTGCTCAACAGCAGTGGGTTAAAGTCTCTTGGCTTTCTGGCCCTGTTTACTTAATGACATAAAACCGTGCAACAGTGAATCGTTGGTTCTGTGCCCAGAGCCTGTTTAATCAGATGTTTTTCAATAAGAGAGTAAGTGATGAATGTTTTCGTTCCCCCCGCCTTTTCCTTTGGAGTTTGTTAAGATGAGTTACACTAGATGTTAGGCAGAAAGAGGGGAAATGGGATCTCAGAACCCAAGACCAAAAATAAAAAAGCACCTATAACTGTAGGTGGTCTGTCTTGTTGGTTTGAGCAGAGAGGAAGTGGGGAGAGCCCTGCTTAGGGGGCACCCCCCCCACAAACAGCCACCTGCTCAACACTAAAAGGGCAATGCTAGCTGGGACCCCAGTCCTCTGTGGGTGGGAAGCTTCCTACCCGCTAGCCCCTTATTGTTGTGAGGTTCAGCGAGCCAGGCTTTCTCCCTTTGACTGTTTTTACAGATTCTATTTAATGCTTTTACTCCAACAGCCTCCATACATCTATTTCTTGTTAGAGAGAAGTTTATTCTTTTCTTTTTTGAAATTATGATTTGAGTGAAAGTTTACAGAGCATATTCGTTTTCCATTCAAATGTTCATACCATGACTCCAATTATAGTACCTACATTGTAGCTGCACTCTTCCCACTTCATCTCTGTGATTCTCATTTCCATTCAGCCTTCTGCCCTACCTCTCTCTTCCTGTTTTCCGAGCTTTATCTCAGGGCAAATGCTGCCCCTTTGAGCTTGTATGATTGAGTGTTTTAAGAGGTGAGTGCCTCCCTGATGTTATTGCTCATCTTATAGGCCTGCTTGTTGTTTGGGTAAAAATTGAGTCAGAGAGGAGAAATTTGTTCCAAAAGACAGTTTTCTTCCATACATGTTACAGCCTTAGAAAATAAGTGGTGCTACTCTACCCTGTCCTATGGTGTTGTTGTGAGTCAGAACTGATTCAATAGTGATTTATTTTGGATATTTTTAAGTGGATTTCAAGTGTGTGGTGGCACAATTTAAATGCTCAGTTAATCAAAAGTTGGCAGTTCAAATTCACCCATTGACTCCTCAGAAACTGTACCAGTCATAGTGTAGAAAAGCCACCGGGCACAATTCTGCTCTATCTCATAAATCAGAATCGGGTCAGAAGTCAACTAGACACCACCAGGGTGGAGAAGACACAGGTCACATATGCAGTGCCTTCCTCGCCAGTAGTCCCCACTGCAGTTCTCAGTAAAGGAGTGTGAACACTTGAAAATCCCATATGCTTATAGAGTGCCCCAAACCAGCCTCTGTTACAGCCCAGGAACTTAACAGGCTTGGGGTCTGCGGCTGCGCTAGCTCTTGGTTTTTTTTTTTTTTTTTTTTTTTTTCTAATTTTATTAAATTTTATTAGTTTTAATGAACATTTACAGGGATTTTGGGTTTTCATTCCTTCATTACTGCACCATTTTCTTTACCCTCCTCCCCAGTTTGTTCTTCTTCCCCGCCATCCGAATGTCTGTTTTAATTGTCCAATTGCCACAGTGCTTGTCAAAGTCAATTCTGATTAATCTCCTTTGTCAGTGTGTCCTTTGCCATTCCCTATCACTCCTCCCTGAGAGAGACTTCACCCTGAGTCATAAGGAAAAGGGGATGGCGTATTCTCTTAGCTACTTCCTGCTGAAAAGGGACGCTGTGGGTTTCAGGGTGAAGATCTTCTCTCACTACTCTAAAGGGCCCCTTTGGCAGTAGGAAACACATAGACTATTATGGAAATTGATTTTGGAATTCAGATGCACTGTTATTAATTGTGCTTAGCCATACATGTTCATATCCCTGAAGATGTATCATGGGGGGGTTGCAACCTAGAAGACACAAATTTAACTAACAAGTTATAAGTACATGAGTCAAAAATTATGGAAAAGTAAAAGAAAAGATTCTTTCATTGTTTTACAAACCCTCCCCCAGGTCCCCTCCACCGTGTAGCCCTCGCTCTAGACTCCTGTGATGACAGAAATACCTAGTCACATATCTCTTTTACACAGTTTTCTCCCTCCTCTGTTTCAGTGCAGTATACATTATTGAACACATCTTACTCAGTCTCTCCCCAACCACTGTCTTGCTTTTAAGGCACCTGGGTGCCATAGTGAATTAGTAGATGCTTAATGAAAAGGTAGCCTTGGAAGCTACCAGCTGCTCCTTGTAAAAGTTAGGCAGTCTCCTCCTGTAAGATGTGCATCCTCAGAAACCTGACGGAGGGTCCGCAAGAGCTGGAACCATCTCGACAGCGGTGGCCCATGAGATAAACGGTCCCAGCTCTGAGGCACCAGTCACATGCAGGGTGATCCGTAGTGTGACCGCGGCTCTCCAGTGCTCTGCTGTACTCTCTCACTACAGCTATCAGATCATGTTGGACTGCTGGCACAAAGACCCGAAGGAGAGGCCCCGATTTGCAGAGCTTGTGGAAAAACTGGGTGATCTGCTTCAAGCAAATGTGCAGCAGGTAAGGCAGCTGAATTTGCCTAGCTATGTTGGGGGCCAGGGAGCTCTGGTGGTCGAGTGATAAGAAACTGCCCTGTAACCCAAAGGCAAGCGGTTCAAATCCATCAGCTGCTCCGTGGGAGAAGGATGGACCTTCCCCTCTGGTGCAATTCACTACCTCAGAGAACCCACTAGAGGGTCAACGGTGGGTCATGTCTGACTCCATGGTACTCAACAACCGCAACAAAGAGGGGTCCAGATGCATTTTTAAGTCGAGGAGGAGTTTTTTCATTGTTGTTTTGCTTTCCTTTTAACAGAATAGCTGAAACAAAAACAAAAGCATAACCAAAACCAAACCTGTGTGAGTGTGGGTACAGAGTCTGTATCGTTTAACTGATCTCAGATCACACCCAAGATGGTGCCCGTACATAAAGATGATGTAATGCTTCTCTTGTGTTGCCATACACAGCTTGTCACACCAAAGACATCAGTGATAGTGCTTTAATCTCTTCTAATTTAAAAGTATCATAATTTCTCCAAAATGGCTTTATACCTTTTTAAAAAATAAACCCAATCAAGATCCAATCAAGCTTAGTGACACATTACATTTGTGACCTTTACTGTAGTTTAGACTAGACAAATGCCCTTGTCCTCCTCCATTTTTTCCTCCGTAAGACATTGGGTTTTGTTGTATTTCCTGAGAAGTTAGAGGTGGGTTGATGTGAACTTTTGTGCCATGAAATATCTGTCTTTGGTATTTTAGGATGGGAAGGACTATATCCCACTCAACGCCATCCTGACAGGAAGTAGTGGATTTACCTACTCAGCACCGACCTTCTCTGAGGACTTCTTCAAGGAAGACATTTCTGCTCCCAAGTTTAACTCAGAGAGCTCTGAAGACATCAGGTAAGGTGTCTTTTCTGAACATTCTGCTGTAAAGTTTTCCAAACTTACTGAAAGAAAGAAGTCTGTCACATTGACTATCAAATGTTCACCTTCTAAATTCAACTATTGTCATTATTTTAACATATTTTGTCTGTGTGACCTATGTGTGTGTTTACTTTGTGCTCAACCATTTGAAAGGGTTTCATGTGGATATATTCATACTTCTAAAAAAGTTGTTTAACTTGTGTAACAATGCAAAGCTTACCATACCAAAGCCATCAATGGTAACTCCTTAATCTTATCTAGTATTAGAATTATCATAATTCCGTCCAAATATCTATTATGCCTTAAAAACAAACAAACAAACGAAAAACCCTGCAGAATCCAATCGCATTTGACAGTAAAAAGCTCACTGTCATCAAGATTATAAAGAACTGGGATGGCTTCATGTATGACATGTTGGGTTGCTAACCCAGAGGTCAGTAGTTCAGATCCACCAGTCTCTGCACAGGAGAATGGTGGGTGCCCCCTTTTCTGATCGTATTTCTAGTCTTGGAAACACGACAGAAGGTTGCTAGGAGTCAGAATCAACTTGACAGCAGTTACTTTTGTTTTAATCAGGAGCAGGACATTGCATGTGATTATTAAGTCTGATTTTCTCCAGAACAATGCATTTTTACTTTTATGACACTGATTGTTTTTAATGAGATGTTCAATATAATCAGCCAAAGAAATGAATGATAAATGGATTTTCCCTAACAAGTTTACAGATCTCACATTACTGCAGAGGTGACTGAAGAAGGGGCAGGGGAATAAATACCGAGTGCCCCTTCTGGGCCGGGCACACTTAGAGGAGATATTATAGGTTCGGTTCCTGATCACCGCCATAAAGCCTATCTCTCAATAAAGTGAGTTGTCCAATGTTTTTGGTTCCTCAGTGCATATGAAACTACATTTACACTATCCTGTAGTCTGTAGCTGGAGTGCTGGAGGCCTAGTGGTGAGGGAGCGACATTGCCAACTCAAAGGTTGGTGGTTTCCAGTCAAAATAGCAAAATTTAACAGAACAGCAAGCAACAAATGCTGGCGAGGTTGTAGAGAAACTGGAACCCTGATTCACTGTTGGTGGGAGTGTAAAATGGTGCAACCCCTGTGGAAAGCAGTATGGCGCTTTCTCAAAAAGTTGCAAATAGAGAT